GGCCTGCTTGGGGGCCACATCCTGTGTGCACTGCCCATTTCTCTCCTGGGCAGCCCTGCCAGTCTTAACTAGCATGCTGCCTCCTCTCCAGGCCTCACTCAATCCTGCTAAGGCAGTGTTGGGCAAGCTTGCCTCTTCAGCCACCTCTGTGATGATATTTTAAGTACTGTATTGCAATTATTTTATGTCTCTCTCCCTAATGTAAGTGATGAGTGGAGACCTTGTTTCATATGTCTCAGTGCCTGCAACATCTCATACACAGCAGGGCTCAGCAGAACATGCTTAAATTAACAGGTCTCTCCTGAGGCTGTTGGTCGTCAGTCCTGGGCTGAATCTGTTCCTGTCGAAAATGCGGGTGCTTACTGTTGGACTCAGAATTTGGGCCTTGTGTCCCCCAAGCTGGGAAATGGGCTCATATTCAATATATGTGCTTCAGAATCGTTCTAAATATCCGTGCAAAAGGGGAGACTCTGCCGTTACTGAAGAAGGGAAAATTCAAGCCATCTTTTGCAAAAACCTGACTTCTGCCATCAGGAAGAAGAGTGTGTTTGGTTTAATGTCCAGATGAGAAGATGCTCTTGGTCTCAGATGAGCAATGGGCATGTAATCTGCGTGCTGAGTGAGGAGTGCCAGAGGCTCACTCAGTGAGTGTAGCAGCTGTCACTCTATTGGGATCTTTCTGCAGCAAGGGATAAAAAGGTGGGATAAATGCTTTTCAAATGTGTCTAAAAGTATTTGGCCAACAGCTGTTGATTAAAGAAGAGGGGAAAAAAGGACTTAATGATTATTGAGCTCTTATGAGGTGCCAGGAGCTTTTCACATTTAATGTTGTTAGTTCTTTCCCCAGTATAGACGGAGAAACTGAGGCTCAAAGAGGCAAGGTGACTGCCAGGGCCACACACTTAGCAAGGTTCAGAACTGGTATTCAAAATGAGGTCTTTCTGGCTCTAAGTATCTAATGAAATATTTGATGTATATGATGGCTTATCTAGGACTTATTGTCGACTGTTGAATGCACATCTCCTGTCTCTTCCTCTCTCTAGAACCTTACTGCTTTTCCTTATTCTAGTGTTAGCCTCATCCAGGATTAGTGTCCTTGGTTCAGCAATGGTAGAGCACCTTCATCTGCAGGCTTGGTGTGCGCCGTCTCTAGCATCTCCATAACATCCACTCAGTGCCAGTTATCCAGTAGCTACTTTTGAATATTTGTGGGATAGGTGATGGAAGCTGGCAGGATCCTTCCTGCAAATGTGTGCTGCTTGTTTCCTGCTTAAACCTCTCAGATTCTGAGCCGTGAAGTCCTCAGGGCCTGCTTTACAAAGGAAGAATGCTACTCTTTCTTGCCTTTGCCAGGAGGAAGATACAGGAAGACTGGAGAGCCTTTTGGTTCTTAAAATTGCTGCCATCTTCATACATCATTGTACTTTATTTACTCTTTCCACTTTGTGGAATAGGACTTAAGCAGTGCCTCCTGGTAGTCTGACCCAGAGAAAGGGGGCGGGCTGGTGTGGGACCAGAAATGATTAGAGCCAGCTGAGTTAGGGCCACCACACCCCTTCTCAGAGGGAAAAGGGACCACAAGAGGGGAATTTCTTCCCTGGCCAAGGTCTACAGATATGGAAAGTATGGGGAGGACCTCACATTAGCCTCTTGCCTTCACAGTCATCACTTTGGCTCATGCACTTTGCAGATACAGCCCTCATATTGTGCTAGATGCTACCTAAGGGGCTAAGAAAGTTACTGAGAGGGACGAGGCACATAGTGACACAGTACTCATAGGCAATGGGAATTAGTCCCTTGCATGTGTGCATGTCTGTGCCCAAATTGCACACACATACACACACACGTACATGTGCATGTGCACATGCTCATACATATGTCTCTCAGAACTCAAAGCAGAGTAAAAACCCTGTACTCCAAGGACTTGTTAGTTAAGGAGCCATACTAGACAGACAGTTTCCTCCTGAGGTTGGGGGCACATTTCATACTCTGGGGCTGGCTCTGCCCCCTTGAGGACACCTTGTCTCCTTCCTTGGCATGAGTACACTCAGCTCTTTCCAGAAACTCAATACCTTTCTGAAAGACAGAAGGTTTCCCACTACTAAAGATCTGCATAAATGTGTTAAATTTGAAAACAGTTTCTAAACAATATTGTGAACAACAGTGGCTTTGTTAGAATCATTCACACAGTGCCTTGCATGTGATATATCTTTTTTTTTAATTTTACTTTAGGTGCATACCATATCTGGCATTTGTCCCCACGTTTTCCCTTCCTACCCTCCCCTATCCCCCCAACTGCCCCCAGTGTGTGATGCTCCCCTCCCTGAGTCCACATGTTCTTATTGTTCAACACCCACCTATGAGTGAGAACATGTGGTATTTAGCTTTGTGTTTTTGTGTCAGTTTGCTGAGAATCATGGTTTCCAGATTCATCCAAGTCCCTACAAAGGACACGAACTCATCCTTTTTTATGGCTGCATAGTATTCCATGCTGTATATGTAATGTATTTTCTTTGTCCAGTCTATCATTGATGGGCATTTTGGTTGGTTCCAGGTCTTTGCTCTAGTACACAGTGCTGCAATGAACAAACGTGTGCATGTGTCTTTGTAGTAGAACTATTTATAGTTCTTTGGGTATATACCCAGTAATGGGATTGCTGGGCCAAATGGAATTTCTATTTCTAGATCCTTGAGAAATCGCCACACTGTCTTCCACAATGGTTGAACTAACTTACACTCCCACCAGCTGTGTAAGAGTGTTCCTATTTCTCCACATCCTCTCCAGCATCTGTTGCCTCCAGATTTTTTAATGATCACCATTCTAACTGGCGTGAGATGGTATCTCAATGTGGTTTTGATTTGCCTTTCTCTGATGATCAGTGATGATGAGCATTTTTTCATATGTTTGTCAGCTTCATACATGTCTTCGTTTGTGAAGTGTCTGTTCATATCTTTCACCCACTTTTGAATGGGTTTTTTTTTTTGTTGTATATCTGTTTTAGTATTTTGTGATTCTGGATATTAGCCCTTTGTCAGATGGGTAGATTGCAAAAATTTTTTCCCATTCTCTTGGTTGCTGGTTCGCTCTAATGATGGTTTCTTTTGCTGTACAGAAGCTCTGAATTTTAATTAGATCCCATGTGTCTATCTTGGCTTTTATTGCCATGGCTTTTGGTGTTTTAGTCATGAAGCCCTTGCCTATGCCTATGTCCTGGATGGTTTTGCATACGTTTTCTTCTAGTGTTTTTATGGTGTTAGGTTTTATGTTTAAATCTTTAATCCAGCTGGAGTTAATTTTAGTGTAAGGGCTCCAGTTTCTGCTTTCTGCACATGGCTAGCCAGTTTGCCAACACAATTTGTTAAACATGGAATCCTTTCCCCATTACTTATTTTTGTCAGGTTTGTCAAAGATCAGATGGTTGTAGATGTGTGGTGTTGCTTCTGGGTTCTCTGTTCTGTTCCACTGGTCTATGTTTTGGTATCAGTACCATGCTGTTTTGATTACTGTAGCCTTGTAGTATAGTTTGAAGTCTGGCATTGTGATGACTCTGGCTTTGATCTTTTTGCTTAGGATTGTCTTGGTTCTTTGGGCTCTCTTGTGATTCCATATGAAGTTCAAAGTGTTTTTTTCCAGTTCTGTGAAGAAGGTCATTGGTAGCTTGATGGGGATAGTGTTGAATCTATAGATTACTTTGGGCAGTATGGCCATTTACATGATATTAAAAATTCTTCCTAACCAGGAGCATGGAATGTTTTTCCATCTGTTTGTGTCCTCTCTCATTTCATTGAGCAGTGGTTTGTAGTTCTCCTTGAAGAAGTCCTTTACATCCTTTGTTAGTTGTATTCCTAGGTGTTTTATTATTTTTGTAGCAATTGTGAATGGGAGTTCACTCTTGATTTGGCTCTCTTTTAGTCTGTTATTGGTATATAGGAATGCTTGGGATTTCTGCCAATTGATTTTGTATCCTGAGACTTTGCTGAAGTTGCTTATCAGTTTGAGAAGACTTTGGGCTGAGACAATGGGGTCTTCTAGATATATTAATCATGTCATCTGCAAATAGAGACAATTTGACTTCTTCCTTTCCTGATTGAATATGCTTTATTTCTTTTTCTTGTCTGATTGCTCTGGCTAGAACTTGCAATACTATATTGAATAGGAGTGGTGAGAGAGGGCATCCTTGTCTAGTGCCTAATTTCAAAGGGAATTCTTCCAGCTTTTGCTCATTCAGTATGATATTGGCTGTAGTTTGTCATATATAGCTTTTATCATTTTATGATACATTCCATTGACACCTAGTTTATTGAGAGTTTTTAGCAGAAGGGCTGCTGAATTCTGTCAAAGGCCTTCTCTATATCTATTGAGATAATCATGCAGTTTTTGTCTTTGCTTCTGTTTATGTGATGGATTATGTTTATGGATTTGCATGTGCTGAACCAGCCTTGCATCCCCGGGATGAAGCCTACTTGATCTTGATGGATAAGCTTCTTGATGTGGTGTTGCAGTGTGTCTGCTAGTATTTTACTGAAGATTTTTGCATCTCTGTTCATCATGGATATTGGCCTGAAGTTTTCTTTTTTTGTTGAGTCTCTGCCAGGTTTTGATATCAGGATGATATCGGTCTCATAAAATTAGGGAGGATTCCCTCCTTTTATATTGTTTGGTACAGTTTCAGAGGGAATGAAACCAGCTCCTCTTTGTACATCTGGTAGAATTCGGCTGTGAACCCATCTGGACCTGGACTTTTTTTGGTTGGTAGGCTATCGATAGCTGCCTCTACTTCAGCCCTTGTTATTGGTCTATTCAGGGTTTCAGCTTCCTCCTGCTTCAGTCTTCGTAGAGTACAAGTGTCTAGGAATTTATCCATTTCTTTGTGGTTTACTGGTTTATGTGCATAGAGTTGTTTGTAGTAATCTCTAATGGCGGTTTGTATTTCTGTAGGTTCAGTGGTGATATCCCCTTTATCGTTTTGCTCTTTCATCACTTTTTTTTCAGGCTTTTATTCTTTTTATTTTCTAATGACCAAAACAAAACTACATCTTCTGCAAGAACCACTTTTTCTAGCCTGTCTTGTATATCTCCTCAAACTTGACCTTGGCCTCTTGTCGGGCCTTGCGTTTAAGGGCAGGATCTCTGAAGACATCCTTATTGATGACAGTTTTGTCCAAGGGGATATTCACAGAGTACCTTGTGGGCATTAGGTGGTTCTAGTTATAAACTTTCACAAAAGACTTGATCTTTGACCTCTTGGCGATCTTCTTCTTGCCCATGGCAGCTGTCAGTTTGCGGAGATAGTAGTCAATTCCAGCCACCAGAGCATGGCTGGAGGGGCGATCTGAGGTGCCATCATCAATGCTCTTCATGATGACGGCTTTGTGTCCAGAGTAGCGTCCAGCCAGGACAAGCACCACCTTCACAGGTTTCATGAACTTGCCCATCTTGGCAGCAACCACTTGGGCCTACAGCAAAAAGGAAAGAAGAACACTTTCGCTAACCTTTCACCCTGGGGAGGAGTAGCATGCGGTATGTCTTTGATGGAGACCTATTGAAAAGCAGTGTGGTGAGTGGGAAGCATGTGGGTTTCGCAACTCTGTAGACCTACGCCAAGACCAGCCTTGCTGTCTGATAGCTATGCCATCTTGAGTTCAGGGCCCTTGTCCAGCATCCACTCAATACTTAGTGGTATAATAACGATGAGTCCTTGGAGAATAAATTTACAACCTCTCAACAAGATTGTTGAAAATTATAGCACTGTATTAGGTGGCCTGTGTTTTGCTTTTCCTCGAATTACCAATAATGTTACTTAATAATTCATCATATGCATGAAATATGAATGCATCTTTTGAATGTGTAAATTCTGTTCAACATACATTTATGCATCATGTGCCTACCGGGTTTCATGCCAGGCATAGGGACACCAACAGAAGTAACTCAGGGTTGCTGCTTGCATGAAGCTCCTATATTTTCAGGGGGATCAATAGCTTTAGACCAATTAGTATAACAATAATTAGAATAATTATAGGATATATTTAAGTGCTGTGAGAGTATAGATAGGCGATACAGTTCTGTTTGGTTGGAGAGAGAAGAAAAAATAAGCCATTCAGGGATTTTGATTATAGCCATAGAAACTAGCTCTGGCTATCATAAGCAAAGAGGGAATTAATTGGAATGAATTAATTGGGGCTCACCTGTGGGCATTAAGCTGGAGGGCCAGGCCTGGGGAATGGGCCAGAAGCAGGGGAACTTCTACGTCATGAAGCCCTACCAGTTGCATCATTGTACTCTTGCTGCTGTTTCTGTGGTCTCTGTCAAGCCAGTCTCCATCAGTCCCTCCTTTCTGTGTCATTTATTTATTCAGGGTTCAGTTTTGTGTGATGATGACTGACTGAGCCTAAGTGGGGTGCCTACCCCTGGCTGCTTCAGGACAGAGAAAGCACACATATTTGATCTCCACTTTGATATAGGACAGCCTCCTATTTGGAAATTGGACAGAACCTCCCCAAGACTCCAACACAGAATTTAATAGGGTGCTGCAGGAAGCATTGACCGGATCCTTGACAGTTGGCAACAGCAGAGCACTTGGGCAGGCAGAGTATAGAAGGAGAGATGTTTCTGGCAAAGAACAGTAGGAGCCAGAAGCACGGGCCCTGGAAGCCCTGGTGTGTCTGAAGCGATGAGAGCTCCATTGTGCCATGGGCAGTATTTGTAGCTTGTTGAGACTAGGTCAAAGAAAAGCATTTCTTCAGTTTCTAATATTCATTCTCTAGAGAAGTAGCCTAGGTGGGGATCCTAGATGGATCTACAAGCAGTTGGAACAGGTTTTTGGCCAGCTTCTGAGGCCCCTGAAGGACAGTTTACCTGACAGAGATGGCCCAGTGAGCCCCCACCAGCTGCAAGTTCCCTATTCTCTGCATTGTTCTCTTAGCCCAGGTGTAGTACCAACAGCAGAGGCAGGACGTTGCTGCCCACAGAGGATCCCTCCCTCCAGTAGGTATGGGGCAACTGCCTACTTGCCTGACATAGTTACGGGCTGAGCATGTGACTATGGCCAGGCAGCCTGTTACCTGGTCAGGTAGGGGCCACTTCTCTGACTCTGTTAACCTCACGGCTCTCTAGAGAACCTTTCTGACTCATCAACATACAAACCCTGAGGTCTGAAGTGCTGTCAGAGTGGGGCAGGGCTTACTGGGGTTGCTCTGAGCTTGAAGACCACACACACCTGGCTGGCTCTGCTCAGTTCATGAATTTCCCACCTGGAGCCTGGGACGTTCATCGCTCTTGTTCTCTGTAAAAAACTATAGTTCTATTGCTGGTCATGTTTGAGCAACTTCTCTGAACTCTTACTGTTTGGAGCTTCAGTAAGAAGCAGCAGGCAGCAGAGCTGAATCACTGACTCCTTTTCTCCCTTCCCATCTCTCTCTTTTCAGCCTGCAGATTTAGAAGCATGAGTAAGCTCTGCTTTACCCAACTCTTGCTTATTTCAAGCAGCATGCTGTTACCCTGTACCTAAAGACAGCCCCTGCCTCCCTCACAGGCAGAGATTCTATTCTCCAGCATTACTTTTTAAAAGGTGTTCAGCTAGAAAATCGCATATTATTTCCTCTGTAAAGGTTTCTCCTTGCCACCTTTGCGCAGCTACAGCTGTCACAACTGCAGTTAATATTTTGTGTGCCTGTGAATGCAAGGGCATGGTGTGGGAAGGGAGATAATCAGGCTGTCCTCTTGGGCAGCAGCCTTACAGTTCAGCTTTTATGAGCTAGATTTAAAAAATAAATAAATAGATCATATCGCTCTCTTGCTCAGAGCTCTCCAGTGGCTCTCCATGCTCATAGATGGCAGTGTACCACCTCACCAGAGCTGCAGGGCCCTGCACCATCAGGCCTCAGCCTGTTTTGCACGCTGTCTCTCGCCACTCCCCCACTCCACTCCCAGGTATTTGTTACAGTGTTCGTTATGTCCCTCGAACATGTCACGTTTGTTCCCACTCAGAGGCCTTTGCATTGGTTTTCTCAGCTAGGAATGAACTTCTCCAAGATTGTCATGGCCTTCTATTCTGTCATGCCGCTCTCAGCTTGAATGTCACCTCCTGAGAGGGACCTTCTCTGGTCACCCCCTGTGAATAAGTCCTCACCCCCACCTCTCTGGACTGCCACTCTGTTCTTCACAGCCCTTCATTACCGTCTGATATCGCATTTGCTCATTAATTTATGCTCATCTGTCCATTCCCTCCTGTGTGCCTCACTCATCGCAGGATCCCAGTCTCTGAGAACAGTCCTGTGTGCACAAGCATTCAGTACAATTTTGGTACTGATGTCAGTGCAAACAAGAGTGAAACAGCAGTGGGGACATTGACCGGGAGAGGCAAAGTGCCATAGCAAAGATTGTGTGGAGACACTGAGAGGAGAGAGGGCATCTCCAGGGATGCGGAGGTGCTGTCTGAGCTAGGTGTGCCTGTGTAGATCAGGGCTTAGCTGTTCTGCCTGGGCCAGCCTGGCTTCATTCTGGAGGAACAAAATTCATGGCCAGGCCAAGGAAGACAGCATGCTGAGGATGCCGACAGGTAAGGACTGTTGGATGCCAGGAGCAGGTGCAGGGGAGGGGCCCACTGTCCTGCTCTTCCTGAGGAGAAATGGACATCGCTTTGGGCTTTCAATGGCACAAGCTCCCATGTGGTTAATTGTTGTTGCTTTGTGCAAATCTGGGATTCCTCCCAGCCCTCCACTAAAGGGAATTGTGCACCAGAGTGGTTCTACATTTCATTTCCGACCTTATCATCTCTGTGCCCTAGAACTTTATTAGACATTGAGGAGATGATATCGTGATTTCTTAAGATAGCCTTGCTTGGAAAATTATACCAGGTAGGATCTTATTAAACCGGGAAATGAAGCCCATTACTTTAAAACTTAGCCTCTGCCATGTATTAATTGTGCAGCCCTGGGTGACTTCATTACTCTATGCCTCATTTTTCTTGCCTTTAAAATGGGTTTAGGCCAGGTGCAATGGCTCATATCTGTAATTCCAGCACTTTAAGAGGCCAAAGCGGGAAGATTGCTTGAGCCCAGGAGTTCAAGACCAGCCTGGGTAACATAGTGAGACCTCCATCTCCCCAAAATTTAAAAAATTAGCCAGGGATGGTGTGCTTATAGTTCAAGCTACTCAGGAGGCTGAAGTGGGAGGATGGCTTACGCCCAGGAGGTCGAGGCTGCAGTGAGCCAAGATTGTGCTATTGCACTTTAGCCTGGGTGACAGAGCAAGACACGGTCTCATTCATGCATGCATACATACATACATACATACATACATAGTAATATGTATGTATGCATTAGATATGCATTTAATAATACATATCTATTTCACTAGGTTATTGTATAAGTTAATGGAGCACTTAAGGAATTATTTATTAATTGGTAATAAATGGTAACTGTTAGTCTTATAGAGTCGTTCCTGATTGTTTCGTGAGATGTCACTGATCCTTGTTTTGTCATGACCACGATTATACTTTTGCGCTGACCAATATCTAGGTGTTGCAAAGAGGAAGGACGCTGCAGAGAATGTGGTACTTACTGGATAAAATGTGTCAGACATACACAGAGTTAACTGTTCCTGAGCATTTCCATTGTCTCCTTCCCTGCTGTCTTGTTCTTTTCTTACTTGGGCAACATGGAGGAGAGCAGGCTCTGGTTTCCCGGGAGGCCATCTGTCCTGTGATCCCTCACACCTGAAGCCTCTGTTCCCTCATCCTCCCAGCGACAGGCACCATGTACACAGTGCAGATGGGGTGGGGGAGCAGTCTCAACACTGCAGCCTGTGAGTGGAGATTTGGAAGGAAGCAGCATGAGCAGACACAAGACTTCAGAATGAGACCAGTTTTCCTGTGGCTTTCCCTGGTAATAAAAGGAAATGGGGGCTGTAGAGAGCCTACAGTATTTCAGCAGATGGTCTTGTAATAGAATGTTTTTTCAAAGTTTCCTTGTGAGGCATCAGTGACTCTTGGAAAATGTGTATCGTGTAATGAGGAACAAAGACGAGGCTTTGAGCATCCCTCTTCATGGTACCTTTCTGAGTTGCCTCTCCCTCCTGGCACAGGTGGTTTTGGAAAGTAAGGAAGATGACCCTAGAGAAGCAGCCTCTCTGGATTTATCTGTGCCTTCAAAGAAGCTGGGACTTGGTCCTAGGGTCAACAATGCCTGTTCATCTCTTCCCGTACCCCCTCTTCTGGGCTCTGGCCTTGGCAGGACCCATTTGATGTCAACGAAGGAAGGTCTGCATTTCTGCAGTCCCTTAATCAGCTGCATCTCCCTACTAAATTGTGCCAACCTCGTGGAATGCTGTGTACCTGTCCAAGATGGCTTATGGAAGGAAGGGAGGGCTGGGTTCTTGGTGGTAGTTTCTTCTTCAGACTCAGAAGCCCAAGCACTGCCAGGACCCCTACAGCAGGGCAAAATCACACCAAACCCTTATGGCAGCCCTATGAGGAAACTGAGGCACAGAGAAA